CTCGGTCCCGAATCCCTAGTCCGGGATCCTGATTCTCTTCTGGCTTCGGACCTCGTTCTTTCTGGATGCTTGTAGAATACAGGTTCTACTTCATGTCAAGTCTTACTTTTACTGAATATGGGGGTTGGGATAATCGGATTTCAGTAGGATGTCGTGTCGCCGGATCCTCGATCCTCGCTCTTGTATCCTGACTAAGGTAAACTCGTAATAGTTCAAGCATATCAAAATGACGTGTCTACGTGCAGACATAACAGTGTGCTCGCTGGGTGTTTGTAGAATACATTTTCTATGCTATATCAAGACTTTTTTGTCAGTTCCTTTGGGTCAACGGATCAGAGTAGCCTACTGTGTCCGTCACTGGTTCATTGTCTCGTTCTCTCGTTTATCGACTGAGGTGAACTCGTAATAGCATTCAAGCATATCAAGTGACGAGCACCGTAATGAATACGAACTCGTCAAGATTCGGTGGAATGATGGTGTGTTTTTAGAGAGAGTGACGATACAGTCAGTTAATCAGTCAGTTACAATGTAGAACTTTGTATATGTTTACGTACGTACAGCTAGTTCAGTTTGCCATACCATCAGTTTTCGATTCAAATCCTATAGTATAGTATAGAGATAGTAGAAGTATTAGCGGCAGTAGAGAAGTTTAGGGTTTGAAGATAGTATTCGTGAAGGTATAATTCAGTAAGATAACTTTAGAAAAAGAAAGATAGAGATGATGAGGAATTCAGAAGGTTAGAATTAGAGAGAACACAACGAGTGGATGAACCTGCGCAATTGTAAACGATTTTGAGTCATTTCATTCAAGGTCAAGACTTTTGGATGTCAAAGGCCCAGTCAGTCAGTCAGTCAGTCAGATGCAACGTAGAACTTCGTACGTAAGTACATCAGTTCATGTTGCCATACCACCAAATAAGCACACAGATATAATTGTCAATTCAAATCCAATAGTAGAAGAGGTAGAAAAAGGTATTAGAAGTAATCGAAGAGGTTAGGATTAGAAGATATTATTCAAGAAGTATGATTCAGTGAGAAAAGTTTAGAAAGTCAAAACTAGAGGTGTTAAAGAATCCAGAAGATTAGGATTTGAGAGAACACAAAGAATAAATGCACCGGCGCCATTGCAAACGATTCTGAGCCATGTCATTCAAGGTCTCTAACCATCGATTATTATCATCTCGCGGACCCCAACCAGATAGTCGACAATTACCGACATGACTCAGTCCACTAGTCAATGACTTCATGGATTTGTGCCATGTTTTGGTTTGGCCACACCTAACTTTCTTTCAACCTACTACTCCTACACCACAAAACATAGTTCGTCGATGCAGTCGGTAGTTAAGCATACGTAACACATGTCCCAACCACCTGAACTGATGAAGTTACACTACTTCATTTATTGATTTGCCATTTCTATCTAGTACTCGTTTCCTAACAACAGCATTGCTTACTCTGTTGTCCTAGGATATACGAGCAATGCTTCGGAGATGCCTGTAACAGCACACGCAAGACCAATTGGGTCAATATAAAATGAGCAATAAATGCTCAGTGGTTAAACTAACTAATTAATCATTTAATGAAATTACATGAACTAAATTCCATGTGTAATATCGATTACAAATGATATTTGGTTGAATAGATTGTCAGTATGTGTATGTTTTAACCAAAAAAGTAGGATTGACTGACTGCTATAAATTATCTCAACTTATCAATGGACTACATTTAAAAACTCTATTTTCCTTGTTAAAACACATGAGAAGAATAATTTTACACTTTGAACGTTACATGTTTGTTTTTTTTCTATCATGGTGTGCGTATCAATGCCGTCTTTTTTTATTGTCACTTACTGTGTGTATGTGATTCAATTTCTCCGGCAATTTATCGATCAAAATCTCGTGTGTGTGTGTGTGTGTGTGCTTGGATAGATTTATGTTTAAATCAGTCGACTTATTGTTGATTTATTTAAATCAAACTACTTAAAATTTATCCAATCACAATTGATGACCTTCAGGAAGTGATCAACCAATCAGGGAGATGTTGGCGAGTTAGTTAGTTATACAACAAGTAAGAAGTTTAATAATGGCCATGAAATATCAGTGGAATAGAATTCAATTCAATCTTCACATGTTGAATTATTGATTGCAATGAGAGAAGTAAATGTGTCAAGTTTACTACCACCTATTCGAAGTTGAGCTAATGTTATGAGTTAAGATAAAGTTTTCGTCTACAATTGAGACCAATGACGATATAAAAAGCTTAAGGTTAGGTATTCGAAGTTGAAGTTGGAATTTTGAGTATAATTTTTTTTTGACATGAGCTGAGGTGGTTGGGACGCGTGTTACAAATGCCCAACCATCGGCTGCTTCGAAGAGAGATGTTTTGTAGTACGGGAGTAGGTTGAAAGAAATTTTAGGGGTGACCAAACTAAAACATGGCACAAATCCATGAAGTCACTCTGACCACTTGGTTGAGTCATGTTAGTAGGTGTAGACTACTTGGTTGGGGTCCGCAAGATGAAAGTTACCGATGGTCGGAGACCTTGAATGACGCGGTGCAAAAGCATCCGTTCTTTGTTCGTTCTTAAATTCTAATCTTCTGAATTCCTCATGACCTTTATCTTTCTCTTTTTAAATTTATTTTACTTCTCGAATCATATCTTCGCTCCTTACTGCTCAAAATTCTACTATCACTATCTCTCATGGATTTGAATTGACAGTTGCATCTCTGTGCTAAAATGGTATGGCAACTTGAACTGATGTACGTATATACGAAGTTCTACGTTGGAGCTGACTGACTGATTGAATGCTTTATCATTCCACCGTTTAAAAACCTAAGACACTTATAGTTGATTCTTATAGTAAGCATTAGAGTGGGAGAATATTATCTATCTACACTAAACACTCTTCACTACGCCACTGTACCCTCATCGTCAGATGAAGTATTTACTTACACACTTACTTACGCCTGTTACCCCTAATGGAGCGTAGGCTGCCGACCAGTTTTCTCCAACCAACTCTTTCCTGTGGACTTCCCTTTCCAGTTCTGTCCAATTTTTGTTCATTCTTCTCATATCTCTTTTTCTATTTCTCGGCGTATTATGTTCCTTGGCCTTCTTCTTTTCCTTTTGCCTTGAGGGTTCCAAGTGAGGGCTTGTCTTGTGACGCAGTTAGGTGCTTTTCGCAGTGTGAAGTACTTGTAACAAAAAATCTATGTCAGCAGCATTTATCATTGGTAATTTAGCTTCACTACCATCTTTAATCGACTTTTCTATTTCACAACACAATTTTCCATTGATTTCAAGCATTTTTTTTAAGGCGAATAGACTGGCAATTTTTGCTATACTTCTTTAGTGTTGAACATTCAAATTTATCTCGATCAGAGTATGTGTACTTTTTAAATCATGTGCCTATTATACATTTTCTTTCAGTGATATTGATTGTGTTACACTCAACATTGTCAGTATTTATTAGACTTTTACTAAAATTAATCACTGACAATTTGGAGCATAGGCTATCAATCCGTATTCTATAACTTACTGTGTTCTGGGCTTCACTTTTTCAGTACTATCCAATTGTTGTTTCCTGTCTGCTTCAGATTCTCGGAGTAGTGTGTTGCTTTGAACCCCCTTGAGAATTCCAAATGAGGTGATTCCTTCAATATTGTGTCCTATCTACCTCCAGCGACTTTTCCTAATTTCTTCCTCAGTTGGTGGATTCTGGATTCTGGATTCTCTTGCCTACAATAGGTTGTTGCTGATGTGTTATCTGACAAACGGATCCTCTGAATTAAGACACTAAGACACTTCATCCCATTATCATTCGTACGTGACCCCAATCTCATGCAGACATGTTATAATGTAAAGCATACAAGGCAAAGCGAAGCACAGAACACCAGTGAGCCAATTCCATTCGATGAAAAACATGACTAGTGAGACAAAGTAAGCTAGAAATGATGTGATAAGCGAAGTAGGCGTTCACATACACACACGCACACACTAGTGAATAAAAGCAACCAAGAATATGAGCGTGAATGACTGTGACAACAAGGTCAAAAGACGAGGGAATAATATTTTGAGAATAGTGTACTAATTCATTTGTCCAAAAACCTTATGGGCTCAACATAAAAGTACACATTCTAGCACACTGTTCACCATTCGTCTAGAATCCGTAACTATACACGTATGGCAATATGAGAGTGATGTGTGTAAGAGGGACTTACCGAGGTATTTGGCTGCCTAATGTCACTGACATGAATTGATCAATGTTAGACCGGCATTAGAAACCTGGAAGCATGGAAAGACGACCGTTTCGTCCTGGTGTATGGGACTGCTCATCAGTGTCAGTGCGCACGCATCCACCACTTCCGCACCTCGCAGTTATTTCAACCCGACGACCTTCGGTCTTGCGAGCGAACGCTTAACCTTAATTTCAGTAAGGAACTCCACTATCTCCACAAACCCATAATGCATATATATATATATATATATATATATATATATATCATTTCTAAGTTTGTTTTCGTCTGTAATCCGTGACTATACACTTATGACCATATGAGAGCCATATATAAGAAGGTGAGCATATTCTCTTTGACTTAACCGAGGCATTTGGCGACTTAATGTCGTTGACAGTTTTTCAAATATAGATATGTATGTATATTCTCAATTATTGACGAAGAATCGCTGGAGTTGATGGATAGGACATACATTGAAGAAAGCATCCAACTGTATCACAAGGCATGGCCTCATTTGACACTCTCATGGTCAGGGGTAAAGAGGGGAATACCAAGGAACACATTACGCGCCGAGAAATGGAACAGACCGGCTCAGGATAAACTAGGTCGTGGTGGAATACTACTATTCATCTGCCTATGCGGGTGGGGGGCGGTGAGGTTGACAGGAGTAAGTAAGTAAAAAACAGGTATTCTACGTGTATTTTCCCCATACACTAACTACATTGATGATTTCTGCTTTTCATTTCTCCTTTACTTTCATGTAGGATAATAATCTTGTACGACATTTAGATGCATGTGAAACTATGGGTAATGCAACAGCAATTTGTTCTGATAAAACTGGTACTTTAACAACAAATCGTATGACAGCTGTACAATGTTTCATTGGGAATAAACATTATAAACGTATACCGACCGCATCGGAATTACCAGAATCGATTATGAATTTCATCGTTATGAATATATCGATCAATAGTGGATATACATCGAAACTGTTGGTAAGTAAGTGCACATTTTGAAATTATCAATCACAATAGAAACTTGGAAGACGGCTGTTTCATTCTGGTTTAGGGGACTACTCATCATTGGGCAGTGCGCATCCACGACTCCTGCCTCCCCACAGGATTCGAACCCGAGACCTTCGGTATTGTTCGCGAACGACTAACTATCGGACCACTGGGTGGCATCCGGCGGTGTTAATGTCTAACTATGATTGATCTAGGGATGTTGCGCGACCTCACTTATTTGTATACTACGTATGTCCAATTACCGACTGTCTCAACCAGAGATGTTTTGTGGTGTAGGAGTAGGTAGGTTGGAAGAAAACTAGGGGCGGTCAAAACAAAACATGGCACAAACCCATGAAGTTACTGAGTCATGTTGGAGTCCACGAGACAATCGTAACTGATGGTCAGACAACAAAATCGTTTTCAATGGCGCAGGTGCACCCATTCTATGGGATTTGAATATACAATTTGATCTCTCCGTGTGCTAATGTGGTATGACAACATAAACTGATGTTCGTACGTACAAAGTTGTTGACGTACGTTGTTGCTGACCGACTGGCTAATGATTCATGCACGTAGGAATCGAATCTGGGGCTTTTGGTCTCGTGCTTGAACGCCTAACTTCTCTAGACCACTGAGCCGGGATCCAACGATATCTAACGATGTTTAACTTTGATCAATCTAGGGTTTGGCACAACTTCACCCCATTGTCTTCGGTAGGTGTGTATTGGGTTTGATTCGCGCAAGCGGAAATCGTGGATGTGCACTGTTGACAAGTGATTCATTGACTTTGTCAATACTTCCTCATTTTCCAGAAATCTCTGCACTCAAACTTTGAACAGATAGGAGAAGGTGAGATGTATGAAAAGAGTTTTACCTGTATAAGATTAAGTTTTCATCGGATCATAACTGTGATTTTTAAAATCTAAATGATTTTATACTGCATACGAATCAGGACCTAGAAATTCGAGTAAGCCATTGTGGCATTGGACCCATACATAGTGTACTACACCTGGCCTAGGTTCAACGATATATACATGATTTTTCTGTTTGGCGTTTTTTTAGACAGTTAGTTTTCTACCCCATACCCAACCCTCCTACCTTATCTGGGCTTGGGATCGGCAATACTTCTAGAGGGGCTCCAGGCGGAATTTCAGCGCTATATATAGGTTCTTTCATCTGTACTTAAGTTTTGACATCTCACATAAATGAAGACTTTTCCTGGTTAGCTTTTCTTTTTAACAAGTTGGTGTTCTGCGTGATGGGGCAGCTAACCCCCCATTCTCAACCTTCATGTTTTATCTGGGCTTGTGACCGACAGTAACCGCAGTAGTGTTCTAGGAAGAGTTGTAATATCACATCACAACTATATACTATATTATTCGTGTAAACTATTTCTGAAATTCTAAGAAAAAGTCCTTGACTAACTGTTTATCTTCTTGATATCTTTCTACTCATTGTACAACTACTGTTGCTTCAAGACTGGGTTGCATCGGTACCTAAAATAGTGATAGGGAGTGAAGTAGTCGAGCGTGTTGACCGCTTCACTTATCTCGGGAGTCTCATCAGTGCTGATGGTCTGCTGTGTGACGAAATCTCACCATAGATACAGAAGGCTCGATTGGCTTTTGCCAACCTGCGTCACTTATGGCGAAGGCGAGATATGTGTTTACTGACTAAAGGACGAGTGTACTGTGCAGTGGTTCGCTCCGTCCTATTTTATGGCTGTGAAACAAGGCCGTTAAGAGTAGAAGATATTCGTAGGTTGGTTATTTCCGATCATAGGTGTCTCCGAAGCATTGTCCGAGTATCGTGGGACAACCGAGTAAGCAATGCTGTTGTTAAGAAACGGCTATTAGGTAAGGATAGCGGATTAACAGATGAAGTGATAAAACTTAATCAGTTGAGGTGGTTGGGACATATGTTACGAATGTCGAACCAGCGACTGCCTCGACGAGCTATGTTTTGTTGTGTAGGAGTAGGTTTGAAGAAATCTAGGGGCGGCCAGACCAAAACATGGTAGAAATCCATGAAGTCATTGACAAGTTGATAAGTTCGTCACTAGGTACGCTTGAAGGTATTACTAGTTCACTCTATTCGGTAAACGCGAACGAGACAATGAACCAGCGTCCAGGTAGGCTACCTTGAATCCCAAACTGTAAAACAGAAGGCTTTGTAAGCGTAGAAAGTATATTCTACAAACTCCCAGCAGTCACAATGCAATCAAACACACAACTCTCGTTTATTTATACATCATATAAACGTCCGTGGGACAGTCACAAAAATAGCACACTAAAATACACAGCAGCCAATCACAGTCATGGATTTTCCTGGTAGGAAATGAAACCCCAAGGTCAACTGATCAGCCCATGCTGGCAAGCGTGGAATCCAAAATAAGGCATTTATCAAGCGAGTTTTGGGGATCTAACATCCCCAACACACCTACCCTTTTTTGATAGCGTGTTCTCCTAGGGTCGACTTGCATCTTGACTGTCGTTCGCCGCTGTCTGAGAGGATACTTTCGCGAACGAAGAACAGCTTGCTGCTGAGATTCTTCTCGTGGCGAGGCTGCCGGTAGGTTGAAGGTATCAAGCAAGATGTCAAGGGGAAGTCTTTCTGCTCTTGATGGGTGATCTGGGGCTAGCCGTTTGCGTATCTGATTTCGATGACGTGACCATTTATCACCTCCTACCTTTACTTCGTACATAAATCGACCAACTCTTCTGACCACTCGCGCTTCTGCCCAAGGTTCATGGTTCGTTCTGTAGTCGCGGGCAAACACAACCACACACACATACACATGATGAATGTACCATTTCTTTCTTAATGTATCTCCTTCTCATTCTCCTTTTCTTTTCCTCTTCACATTCAAAGCCACCAGATAATCCCAATGCATTACCAAAACAAGTTGGCAATAAAACCGAATGTGCATTATTAGGTTTTGTTAAATCAATTGGACGCAGTTATGAAGAGATACGTAGCCAATGGAATGAAGAACGTTTATACAAAGTGTATACATTTAATTCAATACGTAAATCAATGAGTACAGTGATTAAGGAGTCGGATAATCCATTATCATTTTTATTATTTACTAAAGGTGCATCAGAAATGGTTGTGAAATGGTAAGTTTTAAATTATTGGTTAGTTTTGAGTTATTTTGAAAAAAAGTAATAGTTATTTATTTACTTACTTACTTACTTACGTACGTTCACCTGTCACCCCTCCCCCTCCGATGGAGAGCATAGTCCGTCGACCAGTATTCTCCAACCTACTCTGCCCTGGGCTTCCCTGTCCAATTTTTATCCATTCCTCTCTCGTGTCTTTCTCTATTTCTCGGCGTAATGTATTCCTTGGCCTTCCTCTTTTCTTTTGTCCTGGAGGATTCCAAATGAGGGCTTGTCTTGTGACGTAGTTGGGTGCTTTCCGTGGTGTATGTCCTATCTACCAACTCCAGCGCTTCTTCCTGCTTTCCTCCTCCTCCATTGGAATCTGGATTTTGCGTGACCTCATCCATTTGTATGCTACGTATGCTATTATTATGTAATTTGAATTGACAATTCGATCTCTATGTGTGTACTAATGGGATATATCAACCTGAACTGATTGATATACACGTACATACGATGTTCTACATTGTTGCTAACTGATTGACTAACTAATCACCACTCACTATCACATACTATCATGATATTTGAATGATCTATAATGTCAAAATTCTCAACATTTTATTCTCCAGAGAAATAAGATGAGAGATAGTAGTACCATTTCGTGCTTTCTCGTCAGTCACATACAAGCAACATGTTATTTGTGTGTAAATATTGTTTTGCTTCATCAACCTAGCCCGTCATCTCAAAATCGATCAAGAAATCCAGCCTCGTCCATTGCAAGACATCTAATGATGAGTGGTCATCAAATTGACCCAAAATCAGCCTTTAGAGTTGTGACACGCATGTCATCAAAACCCACACACACACTGAAACTGCTTGAAGCAATCTTGATTGGTCGGAAAAAATTCCAACTTTATGTGTTCAAAAACAACTGTATGTTGACCTTTGTTTACTTACCATGGTTGTAAAGTGAGTGAATGTCATGCTAAATAAGAAATTTTGACCTTATCTTCAAAACTGTATTTACACACGAATAACATGTTGCTTGTGCGTGACTGACGAGAGAGCACGAAATGGTACTACTATCTCACAAAATATATCTTCTTATTTCTCTATTCAAATTTATCAAAGGGAACCACTGTTTTGAATTTTATTCTTCATTCTAATTGCCTCATCTTTTACATCAATAGTCTTCATTAAAACAAAACTTGTATTTTTTGGCCTTGATATTCAATATTCAATCTTTTAGTCACTTTATCTAAAATGTGTCACACATTTTGAAATTCTGTGAAAAAAATGAATTAATTATATATTTTTTTTACATAAGATAAACATTTCCTCCTGTCAATTTATTACACTTTCACACACGCACTACCAAGCGTACATTGTGTGTGTGCGTGTGTGAACACTGATCACTTTTTGTATCATCGTTGATTGCCAATTTTTCCTTGTCATTGTACCTCCACACCCACACACACACACAGACACACAAGCGAATGTACTTTATCTGAACAGCGGGATAGCAACAAACTGATTAACTGATTGACTTACTTACCTACTTACTTGCTTACTTATGTAAACATTACCATGTCAGAAAACACCTGTACCGCCATTTCTAATCTTCAATTTTGACGACGATGTTGTTGATGATGACACTTTTCGCAGACATCATCATCTTGTGTGTGTGTGTACGTGTGTGTAGGTGTGTGTGTGTGTGTGCGTGTCACTAATCCTTTCGATTTCATTTCATCTGTGTAGCGCTGATCATTTGATATGATGCTACAATGTATGGGTGTGTATATATATCCGTATGTTATGTACCTTTAAAAATGTGTGTGTGTGTGTGTGTGTAGTGTAGTGTTACACGCACTTGAAAAATGACATTATGGTACATTGATAATATACTTGAATACGGAATAGTAATTTTTCTGGCTAGTCTTATTCTTCGTCTCCTCCTCCCTCCTCCGTGTCCGTTCAATGGACGTCAGCATTTTTCAAGTTGTACTGATTTTGTATCGATTCTTATGTGGTGTGACAACTTGACAGCCTTGTGAAAATTACGCAACAAACAATCGAAGAAATTTATGATGTGTTTTAGCTAAGTTTGTTGATTGGTGTTATTCGCCAAGAAACCAGAATGTCCTGAGGTAGGCTCAAGGGGGGTATTGATTGTTGAGTTAGGCAGAAAGCTGTGACAAGTGTAAAACAGAGCTCATCAAAGAGATAGTGGATACTTACTTATTTACTTACTTACTTACTTACTCCTGTTACCCCTAATGGAGTTATAGGCCACCGACCAGTTTTCTGCAACCAACTCTGTCCTGGGCTTCCCTTCCTAGTTCTCTCCAGTTTTTGTTCATTCTTCTCATATCTTTCTCTATTTCTCGGCGTAATGTATTCTTTGGCCTTCCTCTTTTCCTTTTGCCTTGAGGGTTCCATATGAGGGCTTGTATCGTGACGCAGTGGGGTGCTTTTCGTAATGTGTGTCCTATCCACCAACTCCACCGCTTTTTCCTGATTTCCTCTTCCACTGGAATCTGGTTTGTTCTCTCCCACAGTAGGTTGTTGCTGATGGTGTCTGGCCAACGAATCCGCAGTATTTTGCGTAGACAAATGTTAATAAACACTTGTATCTTCTGGATGATGAAAGATAGTGGATAAGGTTGTACAAAATGCCTAGATTGATCAGCGTTAGACATGAACACCATTGGATACTGCCTATTTAATGGTCCAGAATTTAAACGCCTGCGTGTACAAGGCCGACAAGTCCTGGGTTCGAATTGTTGGGGATGTTAGATCCTCAGGACCCCATTTGGAAAGATCCTAATTCTGTAATTTCATTCTGAAGTTTTGAATTTCCATGTCTTCGCGCTCGTTAATCTTCAGCCTACACTTCCACCTCGGGAAATCCTTGACTGTTATTGGTTGATGTATTATTTTAATACGCTATTTTGTGGTTCTCTCAAGGGCATTTCGATCATTGTATGAATAAGCTCAATTTGTGCGCTTGTCAACCTCGTATTTTCTGGTTGCTTGTAGATTACACTGTCTACGCCTCATCAAGACTTCTTGATATAGTCGCATTCAGGGTTGATGATGCCCATATGCGTCAGAAAATTATCGTCTTCGCTCATAATTAGCTTCAAACGTCGATAACGAGTACTAAACAATGCCAAGTTGTAGCCGAAATGTTAGCTTAATGTCTGGACTGTGTCTGAGAATGGGCAGTCGCGTGGGTTCAGAGGCAAGATCAAATTACGTTACTTGTCTAGCTTACATGCACCCAACTTTCGAAATAGCAGCCTAACTTACCAAGCATCATCTTGATTGATAAAATCAAATTTAAATAGATCTTCATAACGCCGGAATACACTCCTGTACGTCTCATGAAGACTTCGTTATCTAGTTAGCTGGTTCTGGGACAAACGGATTAAAATAGCCTATCATGTCACTGAGTCATTGCTTTCGTTCCGTTTACTGAGTTAAGTGAACTCGTAATAGCAATGAAACATAGCAAAATGTTACTAGTATAAGGAGTCATGGATGCTCACTACCACTGATGAGTCCCATACACTAGGACGAAACGACCGTCTTTTAGTGATTCCAGGTTTTTATTTGTTGTCTAACATTGAGACAGACAGACAGACAGACAGATACAACGCAGAACTTCGTATATAAGTATATCTGTTTAGGTTGCCATAACACGTCAGCACAGAGACGCAACTGTCAGTTCAAATCCAAGAGTGATAGTGATAGTAGCAGTATTAGCAGTAATGGAGGAGATTAGGGAGCGAAGATATGATTCGAGAAGTATAGAATTCAGTGAGATAACTTCAGAAAGAGAAAGATAGATATGATGAGGAATTCAGAAGATTAAAATTTGAGAAAATACAAAAAGTAAATGCACCTGCACCATTGCAAACGATTCTGAGCCATGTCGTTGTTCAAGGTCTCTAACCATTGGTTAGTATCGTCCTGCGGACCCCAACCAGGTAGCGTACATCTACCAACATGACTCAGTCCACTTGTCAGTGACTTCATGGATTTCTGCCATGTTTTGGTTTGGCCGCACCTAGCCCCCCTAATATTGGTTGATTCATCTTCTCAAAGTAAAAAAGTGTTTAAGTATGATGTATATTTATCGAGGTCTATTTACTTACTCCTGTTATACGCTTTGTTGAAGCCTGAACCACCGATCAATATTCTTCAATTAACATTGTCCTCTCTCTTTTGACGTACATATCTCAAATTACCCCGGGTCACAATGTGATCTTTTTTGTCTTTGTGTTCACATTCGACTTTGAGAATTCCAAGTTAAGAATTGTTTCGTGATAGTCTGTCTGATGATTTGTACCATATATGTCTTATACACACTTTCAGTGTGTTTCTTTTCCACTCCGCCTGCAGTTCCTCTGGAGCTACTGCTGCCTTTCCTAAGCCCGGATAAAGTAGGGAGGTCAGGCGTGGGTTTGGTGACCCCATCTAGTAAAAACAAGAAACTAACTCGGTACAAAGAAGCTTAAAAAGATATTCAATAGTTAAAGATCATCGTCAGTCGGGAAAGTTGTTTGAACCCCTTATGTTTCAATCTGTCAAACAGTTGATACTCCCGTCATGTAAAGATGATGGTCGAATCAATAACTTGCAAACAGATATCTCGACTAGGTTTCATTTTTGCAACGAATTTATTAAGTTTATCAATCTTCTTAGTTGACTTGTTAAAAAAAATGTGGAATATAACAACAATCGCAGAGAACTGAGAAGGTATGCCCCAGGATCAGAGTAGGTTGAAGAATACTGATTGATAACAAGCTTAAGTAAGTTATTTTTTGGGGATGTTAGATCCCCGAAATTCGCTTGTTAAATGCCTTATTTTGGTTTTCACGTTTGCCAGCATGGGCTGATCAGTTGACCTTGAGATTTCAATTCCCACCAGGAAAATCCATGGCTGTTATTGGCTTCTGTGTATTTTAGTGTGTTATTTTCGTGACTGTCCCAAGGACGTTTCTATGGAGTATAAATAATAAACGAGAGTTGTATGCCTGATTGTACTGTGATTGCTGGGTGTTTGTAGAATATACTTTCTACGCTTACAAAGCCTTTTTACTTCAGCCTCGGATTCAAGGTAGCCTACCTGGACGCTGGTTCATTGTCTCGTTCGCGTGCGTTTATCGACTAAGGTGAACTCGTAATAGCCTCAAGTATACTAAGTGACGAACTTATAATTATTCAAGATCTAAAAGTCATATTTCATTCTATTTATGACTCATTTTAACTGGATAATGAATTTACTGAAGAGTTTGATGTGAAAAGTGAATATCAACTTTTGTATGTCGGTGTATATCATCTCTAACTAATAAAATCCCCTTCTCTTTTTCTTCTTCAAGTTGTTCATGGATGATGGATGAACAGAGTAGACCAAGACCATTTAGTGTACAAGATCAAGAACGTTTAACTGAAGCAGTAATTGAACCAATGGCAGGTGAAGGTCTACGTACAATTGGTATAGCTTATAAAAGAATTACAGTAGGTAAGTATGGTGTGTGTGTGTTTTTCGTGCGCGTGTGTGTGTGGATGCATGTGTCTGTGTGTGTATGTGTTAGTTAGTCAGTCAGTCAGTTAGATGCAATGTAGAACTTTGTACGTAAGTACATCAGTTCATGTTGCCATACCACCAAATTAGCACACAGAGATGTAATTGTCAATTCAAATCCCGTAATAGTAGTAGAGATAGTTAAGGTATTAGAAGTAATCGGAGAGGTTAGGATTAGAAGATATCATTCAGAAAGTATGATTCAGTGAGAAAAGTTTAGAAAGTCAAAACTAGAGTTGTTGAAGAATCCAGAAGATTAGGATTTGAGAAAACACAATGAATGAATGCACCGGCGCCGCTGCGAACGATTTTGAGCCATGTCATTCAAGGTCTCTAACCATCGATTATTATCATCTCGCGGACCCCAACCAGGTAGTCGACAATTACCGACATGGCTAAGTCCACTCGTCAATGACTTCATGGATTTGTGCCATGTTTTGGTTTGGCCGCCCCTAACTTTCTTCCAACCTATTCCTACACTACAAAATATAGCTCGTCGAGGCAGTAGGTGGTTAGGCATACGCAACACATGTCCCAACCACATCAACTTATGAAGTTTCATTACTTCATCCATTGATCTTCCATTCGTACCTAGCATCCGTTTCCTAATAACAGCGTCGCTCACTCGGGTGTCCCACGATATACGAGCAATGCTTCGGAGACATCGGTGGTCGAAAATCAATAACCTACGACTATCTACTCTGACAGGCCAGGTTTCACACCCATAAAGTAAGACAGAGCGAACTACTGCACAGTACACTCACCCTTTAGTCAGCAAACGGATATCTCGCCTTCACCATAAGTGACGCAGGTTGGCAAAAACCAATCAAGCTTTCTGTATCCGAGCTGAGATTTCGTCATTCACCATGCCATCGGCACTGTTGAGACTCAAAGGATAAGTGAAGCAGTCTACACGCTCGACTATTTCACTCCCCATCACTAATCTAGGTACCGATGCACCCTAATCTCGAAGCCATCATTTGAAACCTACAAGCACTGAATGATGGCCATTTCGTCCTGATAGTTAGTATGGGACTACTCATCCATATGAATGCACATCCACAACTCGCAGAATCCGAAATCCCGATCTTCGGGTTTGCGCACGAACACCTAACCTATGGACTACTGCTTTTATCTAACTCATTGCATTATTCAAATTTATCAATGTTTTCAACTACTACTATTATTATTGTTTATTATTATTATTATTATTATTATTATTATTATTATCAACTTTTTATACCTTGATTTCCCTTAGCTACCAATTCTAAAAGTCCCAATGATATGATTATACAAACTGAACCAAATTGGGATGATGAAGATCATTTGTTGGAAGGTCTTACATTATTAGGTATTATCGGTATAGAAGATCCAGTACGACCAGAAGTTCCAGCTGCAATACGTCAATGTCAAAAAGCCGGTATCACTGTACGTATGGTCACCGGGGATAATGTTAATACAGCTAGATCAATTGCAATGAAATGTGGTATTATACAACCAGGTGAAAATTTCTTAGTCATTGAAGGTAAAGAATTTAATCGTCGTATACGTGATCAAGTGACTGGTAAAGTACGACAAGATTTATTTGATCAAGTATGGATTAATCTAAGAGTATTGGCTAGATCATCACCACAAGTAAGTTGGACTAGTTCAATTGCGTTTCATTGAAATCATGAATTGATCAGAATTTGTGTGTGTTAGACGCCACCCATTCGAGAGAAACTTGAAAGTATTGAAGGACGGTTTCGTTTCGTTCTATAGTATATGGGACTACTTATCAGTGGCAGTGTGTATCTGAGACTCCTGCTACTCGCTGGAATCGAACTGAGGACCTCCGGTCTTGCGCTCGAAAACTTAACCTCCAGATCACTAAGTTAGCATTCATAACCTCTGATCAGACTTCTATATTGATGTTTTTTTCCTCAGGTCTAAAAGGATTCTAAGTGGTAGTAGCAGTAGTAGTGGTAGTATTTTACTACCTGATATCTTGAGAACGAAGTTTGTTGACACGTTTAAACCATCAGTCAATCGTTGTTCGGCTACCATTACAAACCTGGAAGCAATGAAAGATGGTCGTTTCCTCCTGGTATGGGACTCATCAGCATGCACATCCTTGACTGTTGCACTACTCGGATTTGAACCCAGGACCTTCGGTCTTGCGTGTGAACACCTGACCTCTGGACCACTGAACCGTGGTGGTGGATGCGCACTGCCACTGATGAGTCCCACAAACCAGGACGAAACAGTAAGTCCAGTGCTTCCAGGTTGTGGTGGTCTAACTCAACAATCTCCACAACTCCATAATCCGATCAAAAATGACAGGTTAAAGGTCGCAATAATAAATCAATCATTAGTTAAATGTATACTACTTATGTCTCATAATTGATCGATTGAACTCTATGATTTAAAACTCATTATTTTCCATTTTCAAACATTGAACACATTTTATTCATTCCGTTTTAAACACAAAGTTGAAATTCATCTATCCTCTATTACATTGGAAGCCTCTATTTAGCCACTGGTTATACTATTTCGTCTGAGTATACAACTGCTCAACAGTGTATCAATCCTGGAATTGAAGAACCTTAGTAGGATCTTCGATCTTGTACGTGAATACTTAGTCTCTCTCTATCTCTCTCTCTAGAAGAAAACCATTTAGGCCGCTAATCTAATGTTGTCAATGTTTAAAACTTCATTCTCATGAGGATGTGTTCCTTAATATAGCAAAACTGATGAAAGCTGGTTGAAAATGGGATTTGATTGTGACCAATTCGGTCTTGTGTGCTGTTACGGGGTATGAAGGCGGATGTCACTTCATGGTTGCTCCCACACTGTGGAAAGGTGTTTCTTGAGGAACTTGAAAAGGAAGATAGATTAGTGTTGGGGTCTTAGGGACCTAGGAGCGTGACTGCAGCACCCAAGAGACAACTACTTGAGGCCAGCCATGCACTGCTTTCTTATTGGAAGTTTTTAGAGTGTTAGCTCCGCTCTTCAAGTGGCCTTAGCGTCGGAGACGGAAATCCCTGGCGCAAGGTGAAGTGTAGCATTTTTAGGGTCGACATTTTCTAACTCCTTCCCTCCTTGTCAGAAGACAGCATCACTGCAGATGTTGGTTGTCCGAAGGAAACACCTTACTGCTGTCAAACCTCACTACAGTCAGCAGTACAACTTCGGCCCCAGACCTTAAGTAGGTGCTTTTAGTCTCATCCTTTTTCAATCGACCTGTCTGATATGATAGAACCAACCTACCGGAACATACGTTCCACCCAAAGTATAGCTCAGTTGGGTCATCACGATAGGCAAGCCCATTCGACCACCGCCACCACGTCCAAGTAGCAGCTACGGTTGACTTTACAAAAAATGGTAAGATCATGACCATCCAATACGTCCTTAAGGATGAATCAACCTGATTGGTCAAGAAATGGATTCATTTTCTAACTGGAAGGAATATATATATATATATTCATATAAATAGCCGGGCGACACCGAGGCAGGCATTAGCACATGTGTTTCTCTATGATGATAGGATAATAAATCATTGTCATCTATCCATCCTCCTCCACACACACACACACAAACAGACAGCCTACGTAGATGTTGTGTTCTATTGACACAGGCAGCACAGTGTCAACAGATGATAACACATGTATACACCTACACCTACACACCCACACACACCCACATACATACATATGCAAGAGAGACAGATGTAATCAGTGTACACATCGTTACAAATCGTTTAAGTAAATAAATCCATAAGTCCTATAGTCTTATCTTATCGTTTGAAAAAAACAGAATTAAACGGAAGGAAGATATCAGGATAGAAATAGAACAACAACACTGTTGACCGCGCGTCTCTCTCTCTCTCTCGCTAGCTCGCTCGCTAGCTCCTATATTAAGGAGTAATCTGTGTTGTTGTAACACAACTGATAACACAAGGAAAACTGTCAAATATTGATAAATGTGATTTAAACACAAAGTTACTTTTTGTATTGTATGAGGTTGGCATGGACAAACACGCACACCCACACACACCTACACACACAGACAGAGAGAGAGAGACAGAGACATGTGAGCGATCAACAGATGTGTACTTGCGTTGTTAGTTAAAAAAGTCAACTGATTAATAAGACAATCATTTTTATCGATAATGACAACAATGGATGAACGAAAAACAAACAAACAAAGAAGAAATATCAATGAGGTAAGGGTAAACTTTGGGAAATTAATACAAAACGATAGGTGGATGAATGGGTGGATGGGTGAATGGATTTCTAATATTAGTTAGTAGACCACAAGGGCATTCAATAAATGCGTTACGTTCTCAGTCAATCATTCAGTTGATAGCTAGATAGATACAACGTAGAACTTCGTACATAAGTATATCAGTTCAGGTTGCCTCTTGGCTTGTGTAATAAGATGAAGCTTATTTCATTTGTACATTCTCTACAGATTGTCGTCTTATGAACATTATTGGTAAAAATGATTAGCACCGAACGAACAGTACTGAGTTCGAGTCTTGGAGTGAATATGCAGAACTCTGAGATGCAGATACACATTCTCAGCTAAGGAATCCTAATTAGGGAGAAATGCACGGCCTAGATTCCACTGACGTGACCAGTGAAGTTCATCCTGTTCGGGTGTAGGCAGTGTCTATCGAAGACTGTGTATGAGGTTGCGCAACTCCGTGAATTTGATCAAGTTAGACATTAACACCGTTGGATACCGGCTCAGCGGTCTAACGGTTAGGGCGTTCGCGCACAATACCGAAGGTCCTGGGTTCGAATCCTGCGAGGTGCAGGAGTCGTGGATGCGTACTGCTGAGGAGTCCCATGCCAGGACGAAACGGCAATCCAGTGCTTTCAGGTTTCTAATGCTGATCTAACATTGATCGGTTGATTGTTTCAAAAATGTGTAATTATACTTATAGCCTAATGACCAATATCGAGTCTGATCCGCATAAGATTTTTACATATCCTAATTGATGGTGGTTTTAACTTGAAATCATGATATTTAATCATTGTTAGACCATCATTAGATACCTGGAAGTATTGAATGCCCATTTCGTCCTGGTATTAAGACTCATCAGCAGCTTTGTGAAGAAATTCTCGGAGTTTAGATGAAAAGCCGTGATTAGTAAAGTTCAAGCCTGTTAGATATAAGCAGTTAGCTACCAAAGACAATGGGTGAGATTGCACAAAATTCTAAGATTGGTCAGAGTTAGACATTAACACTGTTGGATGCGCCAGCCCAGTGGTCTAGAGGTTAATCGTTCCTCAGACAGACTGACAGATACAACACAGAACTTCGTATATAAGTACATTAGTTCAGGTTGCCATACCACATCAGCACAGAGACGCAATTGTCAGTTCAAATCCAACAGTGATAGCGATAGTAGAATTATTAGCAGCAGTGGAGAAGATTAGGGAGCGAAGATATGATTTGAGAAGTATAAATAAGTGAGACAAAGTTAGAAAGACAAAGGTAGAGGTGCTGACGAATCCGGAAGATAAGGATTTGAGAGAGCACAACAAATGGATGCACTTGCGCGATTGCAAACGATTTTGAGCCATGTCGTTCAAGGTATCTAACCACTGGTGACTTTCGTCTCGCGGACCCCAACCAGATAGCCTACATCTACCAACATATGACTCAGTCCCCTAGTCAGTGACTTCATGGATTTTTGTCATGTTTTGGTCTGGGCGCTCCTAGTTTTCTTCCAATCTACTCCTACACTACAAAACATAGCTCGTCGAGGCAGTCGGTGGTTAGCCATACGCAACACATGTCCCAACCATCTCAACTGATGAAGTTTCAATGCTTCATCTATTAACCTGCCATCCTTACCTAGAACTCGTTTCCTAACGATAGCATTGCTTATACGGTTGTCCCACGATACACGAGCAATGCTTCGGATACACCTATGATTGAAGACTAGTGACCTACGAAAGTCGTCTACTCTTAACGGCCATGTTTCGCATCCGTATAGTAGGATAGAGCGAACTTCTGCGTAGTACACTAGTCCTTTAATTAAAAAGCCTTCGCCATACGTGACGCAGGTTGGAAAAAGTCAATCGAGCCTTCTGTATCCGTGCTGAGATCTCGTCAGTCACCGGGTCATCAACATTGATGGGACTCCCCACGCTCGACTACTTCATTCCCTATCACTAGTTCAGGTGCCGATGCACAACCCAATCTTGAAGCAAAATTTTGCATTTCGCGATTGATAATCGTTCATGCGCAAAATCGAAGTTTCCTGCGAATGGCAGGAGTCATGGATGCTCACTGCTACTGATCAGTCCCATACCAGGACAAAACAGTTCATAGTAACCTTTTTGTGACTAAATTTAAGACTGTTTCAAAGTGTACAAATCAGAATAATGATAACTGCCTACTTCAACCGTAACACACCTATAAAAGAATTATCTATCTCAAATACTGTTTCCACATATATGTTTTATGTGTACACCTCATGTTCATTTGCTCTAACATTATCTACCCATATTTTTTTTTCATGATTACAATCTGTTCTGAAAATTTTGATCAAATTTTGTTTGTTTGTTCGTTTCACGTCATCATCATCAACTCCATCGCTCTCGCCATCATGACCAAATTTTAACTAACTAACTAACTAACTAACTGATAAGCCACCAACTTGACAAAATAGAAAGAACAAAGCAATCCATGTGTACGATTTGTTTTTCACTCAGTCTATTTGCACACCATCTTTGAGTCGTCGTGAGTTCCAACACTCCATCCTACTTCTTCTTCCATTCCTGTTGTTGCTTCCTTTCCTTCCTCTGTTGGTACTCCATTTACTTCTTGCTTTTTGCTCCATTTGCTTTCCGTTTTTTCCTCTTCTGACCGTGCGAATTCTTCTTCTTTCACGTCCATTCTTATACTACTACTTATATTGTTCGTATAAGTAGCACACAGCACACCCCCACCAACTTTTCCTGGATTAATTTCAATACGAAGAGGCATATTTATAAATCTTATTCTTTTTCTAAAGGTGGTATAAACATAGTGATTCCAGTTGATTTCAGTAGTATATATCTATCTACATGTATGTATGTATGTATGTATGTTTATGAAGGAAATATTTCATTTGTCAGTGAATTTGACAGTATACGATTGAATGGAAATGAAGACATTTTTTAAATTGTGATTATTTTTCGTTAAGTTTACACCTCATCTTCCTCTTCTCTCAACGTCATTATCGTCAGTTATGTCGTGTAAGCACCAGCGAGAGAGAAAATAGGAACTGCACTACTGACCGATAAAATTTTAATCATTCATTCGTATTCTACTAAAATCAGTAGTATGTTCAAATGAATGAAATATATATATATATATATATATACATATTTGTTTTCCTCCCGAGGAATATGTTGACTCACGTAGTAGTTGGGCTTCAAAAACTATCTTGGAGTTACAGTAAGCCATGATTGTAAGGCCACTACCCACTAACATGCATTGGCAGGGTCCAGAACCCTATGGGTTTCGGGGGAGAGGTCCGTTATCAAGTTCAATACTAGTTAAGTTCATTGTGGTACAACGCACACAACCCGTAACGAGATTCAAACTATAAGCGCCTGAGTTAAAACTCTTTATTCTGTCCTGCCTTAGATTAAGCAGCGATCTGGCTTTGATGTACAGAATAATAAGAGTATGTTAGTGTTGAATCGGACATTGAAATGTGTGTGTTTCATTATTTCAACTTATCGTATATCACCTTTCATATTATGGTTAGTCACCCTAAACTCCAATCCACTCCTAATTGTTATGTGTAGTTAGAGACCTTGAATAGTGACATGGCTCAAAACTGTTTGCAGTGGTGCGGGTGCATCGATTCTTTGTGTTCTCTCAAATTCTAAGCTACAGAATTCTTCATCATCTCTTTCCCTTTCTAAAGTTTATCTCACCGGATTATACTTCTTGAATAATGTCTTCGATTCCTAATCTATTCGATTACCTCCAATACGTTTACTAGCTCTACCATTATGGGATTTAACTTGAAAATTCCATCTTTGTGCTAATGTGATATGGTGACTTGAACTAATGTACGTACGTACGTATGTACGAAGAGTTCTACGTTGTAGCTGGCTGACTGACTGATTATTGTGTTGAACAGACAATAAAAAAAAACAGAAAATAGTCGTATTGAATTTCCGATGTAAAGAATAGAATGGCGATAACTTTTAAACAGCTGACCAAATAACATGGATTTAATCACTACCATCTAAGGTATTCGATTCGTCAAGATAATTCATACACAGTTTACTAACTGATTGACTGATTGATATTATGAGTAGGTCAGATATTTTCAAATGCAGTTGATGATGTAATCGCCAAGGAATCTGGTATGCATGTACATAAACATGTCAATTTTGATATGCTTGAACTATTACGAGTTTACCTTAGTCAGTAAACGAGTGCGAGGATCGAGGATCCGGTGACACGACATGCTACTCTAATCCTGAACCCCCATATTGAGTAAAAGAAGACAAGACTTGATATGAAGTAGAACGTGTATTCTACAAACATCCAGAAAGTACGATGTCCGAGTCCAGAAGAGAATCAGGATCTCGGACTGAGGATCCGGATCCGGGTCATAAAACGTTACAGATAATGCGTATTTATACAGTTAAGTCGGATAGGAAACAACATTGAAGTCTGTGACATTGATAGTCAGGACGACGAATGGGAAACAACATTGAAGTACGTGACACTGATATCTAGGACGATCATAATATTGAATAGAGAAATAAGAAGACATATTTTGTGAGATAGTAGTACCATTTCGTGCTTTCTCGTCAGTCACATACAAGCAACATGTTATTTGTATAAATACAGTTTTGAAGATAAGGTCAAAATTTCTTATTTAGCATGACATTCACTCACTTTACAACCATGGTAAGTAAACAAAGGTCAACATACAGTTGTTTTTGAACACATAAAGTTGGAATTTTTCCCTACCAATCGAGAGAGCTTCGAGTAGTTTGAGTGTGTGTGTGGGTTTTGATGACATGCGTGTCACAAGTCTAAAGGCTAATTTTGGGTCAATTTGATGACCTCTCATCATTAGATGTTTTGAAATGGACGAGGCTGAATTTCTTGATCGACCTTGAGATGACGGGCTAGGTGGTGGATGAATCATGGATTTGATTAGCCATTTTGGAATATGTTCCCCTATCCTGTCTTCCAATCGGCGATCTGTCCTCCCTAAGTAACTTTCTCCGCAGTTACATGTGAATTGGTAAATACAAATAACATGTTGCTTGTATGTGACTGACGAGAAAGCACGAAATCTCACAAAATATGTCTTCTCATTTCTCTATTCAAATTTATCAAAGGGAACCACTGTTTTGGATCATAATATTGACCACTAGGAGTTAACCAATCGGAAATGACCAATAATTCTCTTAGGATATTGGATGAATGTCCTAACGGAATCACACATACAAACGCACACTTGTGATCGTAGGTTTTCATGCTATAACTAGACTGCGCTCGTTGTCTCACTGAAACAAACTCATTTTGACTGATACTGTGGTGTGAGCTACTTATAAGTAGTATATGACGTGAGTGTAAACGTAACGTCTGGCAGCAGAAGATGGGGGAAGATCAAGAGAAAGGAAGAAGAGTTAGAACACAATGGAATTTGTATGAAACGCATGAATAGTGAAATGTCAGGCAATGGATTGATGATTGATTAAAGATTTGCAAATTAACGATTCACGATATGGTTTTTCAATTTTACTGAGTAACTCTGTAATTTTTGTTTAAAAAAAACTTTTTCCTCTTAGGATAAATATACATTAGTCAGTGGAATAATCAATAGTCGTGCTGCCGCATCACGTCAAGTTGTCGCAGTCACTGGGGATGGAACTAATGATGGTCCAGCATTGAAACGTGCTGATGTCGGTTTTGCTATGGGTATCGCTGGAACAGATGTTGCCAAAGAAGCATCGGATATTATATTGACAGATGATAATTTTTCTAGTATTGTGAAAGCTGTCATGTGGGGACGTAATGTGTATGATTCGATAACGAAATTCTTGCAATTTCAATTGACAGTGAATTGTGTCGCTATAATTGTCGCATTTGCTGGTGCATGCTTTTTAGATGTAAGTGTTATGTTGTTGTTGGGTTTTTCTGTTCTGAAAACTTTTTTTGTTCAATAATGTGGTGTTACGTGTATGTGGGTGGATGTCACTTTCCGGCTGCCGATACTGTGGAAGGATGTGTTCTCTAGGAGGAACCTGAAGAAGAGATCGGATCAGCGTTGGTCTGAGCGACCTGGGAACGTGAACCCACAACACAAGGGACCACGACTTAAGGCTGGTCGCACACGATCTTTTTATAGGAAGTTTTGTAAAGTTTTAGCTCCACCAGAGACGGAGATCCGTGAGGTAAGGTGAGGTGTGACATTCTTATGGTCAAGATTTTCTAATCCCTTCTTCCCGTTGTATGAGAAGATAGCATCGCTGCAGATGTTGGTTGTCCAAACGTCTCTACATTCAGCAGTACGACTTTGCACTCAGACCTTGAGTAACTGCTTTTAGTTTGATCGTTCTCCAATCGACCTGCCTGGCATGATAGAACGAACCTACAGGAACATATATTTCACAATATAGAAGCCCGACCACCACCAGGTCAAGGTATCAGCTACGGCCAGGACCTATCTATGCATAGCAGTCTATTGATGAAGTAATGAATCTTTATTAGTTAATGTCGTTCAGACATGTGTGCTATATATATGCCTAGCCTGCTTCGAAGAACGATCTGATCTGATCTGATATCGGAGTAGTAGGCTAGTCGATTGTTACGCATGCACGTAAGCATGTCATTTGATATACTTGAATTATTACGAGTTTACCTTAGTCGGGAAGCGAGAGCGATGATCGAGGATCCGGAGACATGACAGGCTCCTCTAATCCGATTGTCCCAAACCCCGATTGAGTAAAAGAAGACAAGACTTGATATGAAGTAGAATATGTATCCTATAAGCATCCAGAACGTATGAGGTCCGAGTCTACTACTTAGTTTGAGTCTGCAAGACAATCAATCCTAACCGGTAGGTTGGTCATTTACAGGTGATAACATTGAATCTCGTACAAATGGTGATTCGTTCAAGTTACTGTAGTGACGATAGTCACAATACCTACAAACTATTTCCGATTCGCTCAGTCTACAGTGTTTGTGTGTGTGTGTGTATTTAGAAGGAACCGCGTCTTGGACCTTTAGTCTCTTTTGTGCAGACCACTGTAGACAGGCAGCATTATTCAATGGTATGTTCCAGCCAATATAGCTCAGTTTGTGTCATCATGATAGGTAAGTCCAACCACCACGTTAAGGGTAGCAGCTACATTCGGGATATATGTATATATATAGATGTCTATTGATGAAGCAGTGAATCTTGTGCTATGTATGCCTAACCACCGTCTGTCTAGAAGAACGATCTTATCTCATGTAGTAGTAGTAGTAGTAAGCTGGAAAAATGCTACGGAAGGCTAAACCAACACATGGCACCAATCCATGAAATCACTAACCATTGGACTTGGCTATGCTAGTAGATGTAGACTATCTAGTTGGAGTTTGCAAGATAATCAATCCTAACCGGTAGGTTGGTCATTTACAGATGATAACATTGAATCTCGTTTTCCGATTCGCTCAGTCTACAGTGTGCTTGTGTGTGTCTTGAACCTTCAGTCTCTTATGTGCAAATGCTTAAATTCCAGACCACTGAAGGCAGACAGCATTATTCAATGGTATCTTTGACTGTCTGCAGTGGCTAATTATCCCACAAACAATTGTTTAAGCCTTCTCATCAGATCTGCGGCAACTGAGTCTTGAAGAGTAGGATCATGAATACACACTACTGAAGAGTTAGTTTCATACGAGATAGCTGTTCAGTACTTTCGGTAAATTTCAATAACTGTACTCAAGCTAATAAAATCTGTTCATCATTTGAACTATGAAAATCCTTATGATGGAGTTACGTTCTCTATGAACTGGATGTTTTGGTTGTGTTTAGAGCTTTCAATGTTCTTCTGCTGAATACAACAACAACATTATCATCATCATCAGCACAAACTTCATATGTAGACAAAGTGAAATATTCGAATTACTTCACGTATGAGACTTGTAGTTTATTCTGTTAACCTCGATCTTGATTGGTTACTGCTAACCTGGAGTTTATGAAAACTTCTATCCTACTCCATGATCATTTCAAAATGAACTTGTGTCTTGCGTACACACACACACACACACAGAGATAGAGGAAAAGTATCCCATAATCGATCTGTTTCTCCTTCTCTTTCCTCTTTAACACACACACACATACACACGCATCAAGGTGTAAAAATCAACTGGTCTTGCATGATTTCATTTTTTTTAAACTTGTCGCTTCAACGAAACTATTTTCCTTATGTGGTGTAAAGAGCAAAAACCAGCACACATCAAAGAGAGTTATTCATTGGGTGGTCTTGATTTTCGTGGTTTTCGTCCAATCCCCCCCCCCCCACTGGACTAGTTTATTTGAAGTTAACTAGTTAGTTAGTTGACAAGTTAGTGAGTTGGTTGAAATGTAAAAAAATTGGATTGTGTTTGTGAATTTGAATAGTAAAAGTATCCTATATTGACGACCTTGAGTGAACCAATCACACTCAAGATAGCGCCATGTGTATTTTGCGCACAATTTAAAATGCAGCGTGCTTGAGATAGTCAACATCATACGGAATTTTTTTGATGGATTAAACTGTAAAATTGTGCATGGAGGACAGCTCACAGACTCGTTCGAGGTGAAGATCGATGTCAGGCAAGGTTGCTTACTCTCACCCTTTTTCTTTCTCCTGCTGATCGCCTGGATTATGAAGACGTCAACATCTGGAGGGAAGCAAGAGATACAGTAGACAACCAGAATGCTGCTGGACGGTCTGCACTTCGCAGATGATCTGGCTCTTCTACCGTACACGCAACAATAAATGCAAGAGAAGACGACCAGTGTAGCAGCAGCCTCAGCAAGAGTAGGTCTCAACATACATAAAGGAAAAAGCAAAATTCTCCGATGCAACAAAACATGTACCAACCAAATCACTCGTGATGGAGATGCCTTGCAGGACGTTAACACCTTTACATATCTGGGCAGCACCATCGACGAGAAAGGTGGATCCGATGCAGATGTGATGGCGCAGATCGGGAAGTCGATGGCTGCATTTCTACTACTGAACAACATCTTGGACTCAAAATAACTATCAACAAACAACGAAGTCATAATTCTGGGTACAAATGTAAAGACGGTTCTGCTGTATGCAGCGGAAACTTGGAGAACTATGAAAGCCATCATCCAGAAGACACAAGTATTTATTAACAGTTGTCTACCCAAAATACTCCGGATTCGTTGGCCAGACACTATCAGCAACAACCTACTGTGGTAGGGAACAAATCAGATTCCAATGGAGGAAGAAATCAGGAAGAAGTGCTCTAAGTAGATAGGATACACATTGAGGAAAGCACCCAACTGACCTTGCTTTGCTGATCGGCGTGTTCACATCTGCATTAGATTCATCTTGCTCGTCAGTGATGCTACCCAGATGTGTGAAGCATTTCACATCCTCTAGGGCATACCCATCAAGCCATAGTATCGGGCTACTCATCAGTCGCAGTGTGCATCCACGAGTCTCGTTGTTCACAGTAATCGAACCCTGGGACCTTCAGTCTTGCACGCGAACCGCTAAGCTGGCCGGCATCCAACAGTGTTACTTAATATCTAACTAACTATTTATAATCAGACAGAAATAGTCTTATGACATGTGATGAGCAAAGAACACACCAATCCACACACACACGCTGATGAAATAATACAAACAACGAAAGTCGCTACCGAACAAGCCATATAGGTTTAACATATCAATTAATACACACACATTATAATGTTTGTCCATGCTTTTGTGTTACGCTCATCTCTAGGTATGCTTAAACTATTACGAGTTCACCTTAGACGAATAACGGGAACAAAATAATGAACCAGTGTCCGGGTAGGCTACTGTGATGATCCCTTGACCAAATTGAATCAACAAGAAGTCTTGATATAGTGTAGAAATTGTATTCTAAAAACACCAAGTAGCACACACAATGAAACCAATCACTCGAATTGCGTTTATTTATACTCTATATAGAGGCGTCCATGGGACAGTCACAAAAATAGCACACTAAAATAACAAAAGTAACCAATCACAGTCAAGGATTTTCCTGGTGGGAAATGTGATCTCAAGGTCAACTGTTGGCTTTTGCCAACCTGCGTCACTTATGGAGTAGGCGAGATATCCGTTTGGTGACTAAAAGGACGAGTGTACTGCTCAGTAGTTCGCTGCGTCTTACTCTATATGGCTGTGAAACATGGCCAGTAAGAGTAGAAGATATTCGTAGGTTACTGGTTTTCGATCATCGATGTCTTCGAAGCATTGCTCGTGTATACTGGAACAACCGTATAAGCAATGCTGTCGTTAGGAAACGAGTATTTGGTAGGAATAACAAATCAATAGATGAAGTATTGAAACTTTATCCGTTGAGGTGGTTAGGACATGTATTGCGTATGCCTAACCACTCACTGCCAGGACGAGCTATGTTTTATGGTGTAGGAGTAGGTTGGAAGAAAGTTAGGGGCGGCCAGATCAAAAACATGGCAGAAATCCATGAAGTCACTGACGACAAGTGGACTGAGTCATGTTGGTAGATGTAGGCTAACTGGTTGGGGTCCGCGAGATGATAGTCACTGATAGTTAGAGACCTTGGATGACATGGCTTAAAATCGTTTGCAATGGCGCCGGCGCATCCATTCTTTGAGCTCTCTGAAATCCTAATCTTCTGGAATCGTCAGCACCTCTCTCTTTTTCTTTCTAACCTTATCTCACTGAATTATACTTCTTGAATAATATCTTCGAACCCTAGTCTTGTTCATTACTATTAATACGTCTACTATCTCTATCACTATGGTATTTGATTTGACATTTGCGTCTCTGTGCTTATGTGGTATGGTGACATGAAGTGATGTACTTACGTACATGCGAAGTTCTACGTTGCATCTGACTGACTCAAGGTCAACTGATCGGTCCATGAATAAAGAAAAAAAATCCAGAATAAGGTATTTATTAAGCGATTTCTCGGTTATTATCTAACATCCCCAACACTCCTCCTCTTCTTTTTAATAGCATGCGCTTCTGAATGTCGACTTGTATCTTGACTGTCGTTCGCCGCTTTTCACTGTAATCTAATCTAATCTACTCTCCCTCTTTCTCTTTATACCCCTATTTTGTAGGATAGTCCATTGAAAGCAATACAAATGTTATGGGTTAATTTAATCATGGATACATTGGCTAGTTTAGCGTTAGCTACAGAACAACCCTCAATTGAATTATTAGATCGTGCCCCATATGGACGTACTCAACCGTTAATTAGTAGACAAATGGCTAAAAATATACTTGGTCATTCATTATATCAATTAGGAATTATATTTTTCTTATTATTTTATAGTAAGTTTTAAGTTTTTGATTTTGATTTCGACTTATATTATTGAGGTTCTGTTTTGTTGGAAGTAATCGTGAAAAGTGCGTTGGAAGGTCGGTGGGTTTGTTTAGTGTTTGAGACTTTTTGTAGCTGTGTTCAATTCGACTCCACTCCTAACGCTCCTGCTTTATCCGGGCCTTAGGACTGGCAGTAGCCCCCCCCTGTGAGCGAGGGGGATCCCATGTGGAGTTATGAGACTTTGTACGGTTGCGTTAAATTCGATGTTGAGCTTACCACTTTAGTGATCCCAGTGATCTGACTCTGAACAATCGATATGTGCTATGAATTAAAATCTTCCCTTTCGGTTTCTGTATATCATTCTGTGGCGAACTGGCGCTTGTACGATAGTGGTAATGAGGGGCTGAATACAGATTCATTTGAATGAGTTTGTTTCATACAATCGATCACGCAGACAGATATGAGGAAGAGTAGTGTCCATGCAATGTGAAACGAATCGAGAAGGCCACTAAGCCAAATCCGTGCGATGAGGCATGACTGAGTATTTATAGTCAGGGAATAAATAATAGAATATTTTGGGGCAGAGTTTTGGAGGTTTGTGTTTTTACACATTTGAAATCATCAATCAATCATTGTTAGAGGTTGCGCAAAAATCCGTAGATCAATCAGAGTTAGACATTAACACTGTTGGATACCGGCTCAGTGGTCTAACGGTTAGGGCGTTCGCGCACAATACCGAAGGTTCTGGGTTCGAATCCTGCTAGGTGCAGTAGTCGTGGATGCGCACTGCCACTGATGAGGCTGCCCATACCAGAACGAAACGGCCGTCTTGCAGTACTTCCAGGTTTCTAATGTTGATAATCTAACAATGATTGATTGATGATTTCAAATGTGTAATAATAGAATAGATATGTAATAAATCTGGTAACCATGTACACACACACATACACTCACAAATAAAAACAACCAAGGAGATGAACGAATGACTGATAAGATTGAAAGACGTGTAAATAACTCGACAACAATGGATTAATTGACTTGTTCAAATGTTGAGACAAGTCCTATGAATTCGACATAGACGTATACACATCACAGACTTTTAATTGGTGAAGACTTCCTTGTCATCATGATCAATGAAGGAGGTTTGTGGTGGTTATATATATATGTATATACACATATAGCTTAACTCCTAACTCCTACCATTTGACCACCTAAACGGCATCAATAGTTCTCCTATTTAAAATATGTCTCTGATATAGTTAGCCAATCAGAAGCGGCCAAATGAGACCATCAGAAGTGTCCTGAAGGACGAATGCATATCATTGGTCAAGAAATAAATTCATTTTCTAAGGAGGACCACCATTAGAAACCTGAAAGCACTGAAAGATGGCTGTTTCGTCCCGGTATGGGACTCATCAGCAGTAGATACCGGCTCACTGGTCCGGAGATAAGACGTTCACGCGCGCCCGACCGAAGGTCCCCGGATTCGCATTCTGCGAGGTGCAGGAGTTTTTGGTGCGCACTGCCATTGATCAGTAGTCTCATACCAGAATCAAACGGCCATCTTTCAGTGCTTCCAGCTTTCTAATGGTAGTCTAATAATAATCGATGCGTGATTTCAATGAATATATATATATATATGTAAGTCAGTGTGCTTTTATGGGTATGAGGACGGATGTTACTTCCCGGCTGCCCACACCGTAGAAGATTGTTTCTTGAGGAACCTAAAAAGGAAGGTAGATTAGCATTGGTCTTGACCACCTAGGTGCGTGACCACAGAGCCCAAGGGACAACCGCTTAAGGCCGGTCACTCACGGTCTTTTTATGATGAAGTTTCACCACTTCGTCGGTTGATTTTCCATCCTTACCTAGTACTCGTTTCCTAACGACAGAATTGCTAACTCGGTTGTCCCACGATACAAGAGCAATGCTTCGGAGACATCTATGATGAAATACTAGTGACCTACGAACATCTACTCTTACCGTCCATGTTTCGCCATCATATAGGAGAACGAAGCGAACTGCTGAGCAGTACACCCATCCTTTGGTTGGCAAACAGATATCTTGCCTACGCCATAAACACCGTAAATTTACAAAAGCAAATCGAGCTTTCTCTATCCGCGCCTAGATCTCGTCAGTCACCAGGCTATCAGCGTTGATCAGATTCCCCAGATAAGGGAAGCGGTCTACACGTTCGACTACTTCACTCCCTATCACTAGTTCAGGTGCCAATGCAACCCAGTCTTGAAGCAACATTTTGCATTTCGAGGGTGGGGAAATCACATCCCGAACATGCTTGCATTATTCCTTATGGTAGTCAATGAGACTCTGCATTTTGTCTTCAGCGTCTTCACCGAATAAAACTACTACTTAATGTTAGACCACCACCACCAGTATATTTAATGTTTCTAACTAATGTTTCTCTTCATCTGTCTCTCTCCCTGTCTCTAGTTGATTTAATCATGGATGTTGACAATGTATCCGGTATCACGCTACATGAACCAACACAACATTATACTATTATATTTAACACCTTAGTATTAATGACATTATTTAATGAATTCAATGCAAGAAAAATACATGGACAACGTAATGTATTTAGTGGACTGCATAGAAATCCATTATTTATAATTATATGGTTTGTAACATTTTTATTACAAGCTTTAATTATTCAATTCGGTTCATATGCATTCAGTACCAAATCAATTGAATTAGATCATTGGGCATGGTGTATATTTTTTGGTGTTGGTGAATTAGTATGGGGTCAAGTAGGTGGTTGTTGTTGCTTTTTTCGTTAAAAAAATTTATTATTTTATTGATTATGATTTGGGATTATGATTTTTTTTGTTCATGAAGCAAGTTGTCCAATCATCGTTTGCATTACAGGGGTTGTTGTGAAGATTGTTGTTATAAGTAGTTACACTAATTTTTTTGAAACCATGAATATCGATCAATGCAATGAATGTTAGACTATCATCATTATTAGAAAGAAATTTGGAAGCACACTGAAAGATGGATGTTCTTGTCCCCTGGCACATGGGACTACTATTCATCAGTGAGTGAGTGGCAGTACGCATCCATCATGACTTCTGCACCCCTACAGGATTCGAACCCAGGACCTTCGGTCTGTCTGTCGATAATTCATCCTTTTGGATGTCTACAACTTACTTCTATTTGATTCTCTACTTACTTACACCTTTTACCCCCGATGAAGCATAAGGCGCCAACCCGAATTCTCCAACCTATTCTGTCAGGTGACCGCCTTTCCAGTTCTGTTGTTCATTCTTCTCATGTCTGTCTCCATTTTTTGAAGTAATGTATTGCTTGGTGTTCGTCTTTGCCGTTGTCCTTGAGGATTCCAAGTAAGGGCTTGTCTTGTGATGCAGTTGGGTGCTTTCCTCAATCTGTGACCTATCCACTTCCACCGCTTCTTCTTGAATTCTTTGTCTCCTGGAATCTGGTCTATTCTTTCCCACATTAGATTGTTGCTGGTGATATCTAATCAACAGATATGGAGTATCTTGCCTAGATAATTATTGATAAACACTTGTATCTTGTGGATGATGGATTTCGTGGTTCTCCAATTTTCCGTCCCATACAGTAGAACTTTCTTGACTTTAATTCAGGTTGGGAAAGAGTTGTTTTGAGTTGCATATCTTGTTCAATTGTAGAAATGCTGCCCTTCTTTTTCCGATTCGCGTCGTCACATCGTCAAATCCACCTTGCTCATTAATGATGCTACCCAGATATGTAGAGGTTTTTACGTCATCCAAGGGATCTCTATCAAGAGTGATTTGGTTGGCGCATATTGTATTGTATCCCAGAATCTCGCCTTTCCATTTTTATATATGTCGAGACTTACTGGTTCAGTGGTTACTGCTACACTGACCATCTTCTCTTCAATTTATTGTCGCCTATTCGATGGAACAGCCAGATCATCCAGCGACATCCTAGTCGCCCATTGTATCTCATCATACTGCCCCATCAGATGATGTTGATGTCTTCATAATAAATCAGTCAGTTAACAGGATAAGTGTACAGTATAGTATGTAGTGTAGGATAGTACGTAGTGAACGAGAACACAGGTGGGGCAACCGGTTTGTATTTAACCAAAAATTACAGAGTTACTCAGTAAAATCGGAAAACCATATCGTAAATCGTTAGTTAATGTGCAAAATATCAGTTCATCATATCGAACTGGACTGTTCCTGTTGCAAAACATCATCAATCCATTGTCACTCACTATTCATGCGTTTCACACACAAATTCCATTGTGTTCTCACTCTCTTCCTTTCTCTTTCGAAACCATGAATCGATCAATGTTAGACCACTATTAGAAACCTGGAAGCACTGAAAGACGGCTGGTTCGTCCTGGCACATGGGACTACTCATCAGTGAGTGGCAGTGCGCATCCATTATGACTCCTGTACCCCAACAGGATTTGAACCCAGGAGCTTCGGTATTGTGCGCGAACGCCTTAACCGATTGATTATTAAAGAATGATGAGAGTGGTTACTACTAGGTCATATATAGTTTGCTTTGTTTTACTTTACTACATATATATATATATATATATATATATATATATATATATATCGTGTGGTAATAATGATCAGAGTTAGAGTAGGAGATATTTATTCAGTTTGTAGGTTATTGGTTTTCTGATTATAGATGTGTCTACGAAGTATTGTTTGTGTGTGTATCGTGGGACAAGGTAAAGATGGCAGGTGAATAGATGAAGTAATGAAACTTGATTAGTTGAGATGGTTGTTGGGACATGTGTTATGAATGTCCAACCACCAAGTTTGCCAACCTGCGTCACTTATGGCGTAGGCGTGATATCCGTTCGCTGACCAAAGGACGTGTGTACTGTGCAGTAGTTCGCTCTGTTCTCCTATACGGATGTGAAACATGGCCGTTAAGAGTAGAAGATGTTCGTAGGTTACTAGTATTCGATCATAGATGTTTAAGAAGCATTATTGCTCGTATATTGTGGGACAACCGAGTAAGTAATGCTGTCGTTAGGACGCGAGTGCTAGGTAAGAATGGCAGGTTAATAGATGAAGTATTGAAACTTCATCAGTTGAGGTGCTTGTTGGGTCATGTGTTGCGTGTATGCCTCTAAACCATCGACTGCCTCGTCGAGCTATGTTTTGTGATGTAGAAGTAGGTTGGAAGAAAGTTAGGGGCGGCCAAACCAAAACATCTCAGAAATCTATGATGTCACTGACAAGTGGACTGAGTCATGTTGTTAGATGTAGGCTACCTGGTTGGGGTCCGCGAGATGACAATAATCGATGGTTAGAGACCCTGAATGACATGGCTCAGAATCGTTTGCAGTGACGCAGGTGCATCCACTCTTTGTGTTCCCTCTAATTCTAAGCTTCTGAATTCCTCATAATCTCCATCTTTCTCCTAAATTTATCTCACTGATTTATACTTCTCGAATCATATCTTCGCTCCCTAATCTGCTCCATTGCTGCGAATAATTCTACAATCGCTATCACTCTTGGATTTGAACTGACAGTTTCGTCTCTGTGCTGACCTGCTATGGCAACCTGAACTGATGTACTTATGTACGAAGTTCTGCGCTGTATCTGCCTGTCCCAGACTTTGGATTGCTACAGGAACGTATGTTCCAACCAATATATCTTGGTTAAGTCATCAGGATTGGTAAGCCCGACCACCGCCACATCAACGTAGCAGCTACGGTTGGGATCACGTCGTTTTCTATCTATCTATCTATCTCTCTATAATCTACACAATGAAATCTTACTAATTATTCTCCTCATTATCATTATTATTATAGATTGTCAATACAGTACCAAATGCTATTATACCAAAATGTCATTGTAAATGTCCCCAACGTAAACGTACCACTGTTGTCAATGTGAATGAAAATGCAACCGACGATTATGTTAAACATGAAGTTGGTGGAGTCGACGAAGAAGAAGAAGAAGAGGATGATGAGATATCACCGTTGAGTAGTGCAAATATGCCACTTGGTGGACGTATTCTATGGATTCGTGGTGTAAATCGTATTCAAACACAAGTAAGTATGGTATTTTCGTGTGTGTGTGTGTGTGCGCGCGTGTGTGTGTACTTGTCGTTTCAATGGTGACAACTTCTAAGCGATATACTCTACTGTGCATACACTTGATCATGATCGAGAGCGAGGATGTTGTTGTCCTTGGTTCGATTCCCGTGGGTGGCAATTATGGATATGCATTGCTGATGAGTACTTATACTAGGACGAAACAGCTACTTAGTGCTTTCAGGTTTTTATTGGTTGGTCTGACATTGGTTGATTGATGATTTCAATTAGAATGAGGCAAGAATTATTATTTTCGATGCTGGTTCTTACATGTCCTGGTACGACCGAGTGTAGGGAGAGCCGTTTTCTTTATTTTACAAGAAGAATCCTGTGTATCCTCCAAACATTTAAGCGAAGCGGCAATTCTTCGCTGGTAACAGCTTACAAGTGATACTCTACTGCGCTTACTAATAATCATGAGTCATCTTGTGAATAGTTGGTGTACACTACTGTAGTAGTACTCTTGAAGTACCAGACTTGAAGAACGGATGAAATATCAATAGCTTACTATGAATTTCTCATTAACAATGTATAATAGGTTGTTTCTGATAGGAGTAGTACCAAACCTAAGTTTAGTATTTTATGGCTGTGAAACATGGCCAGTGAGAGTAGAAGATATTTGTAGGTTATTGGTTTTCGAAGCATTGCTTGTATATCCTGGGACACCCGAATGAGCAACGCTGTTATTAGGAAACGGGTGCTAGGTAAAGAAGGCAGGTCAATAGATGAAGTAATGAAACTTCATCAGTTGAGGTGGTTGTTGGGAAATGTGTTGCGTATGCCTCTAGACCAACGACTGCCTCGTCGAGCTATATTTTGCGGGGTAGGAGTAGGTTGGAAGAAAGTTAGGGGCGTCCAAGCCAAATCATGGTATAAATCTATGAAGTCACTAACAACTGGACTGAGTCATGTTAGTAAGTAGTAGACTACTACTTGGTTAGGGTACGCGAGACGGTACTAATCGACAGTTACACAGACTGTGTACTACATTCGCGATGGCGCAGGTATATTCATTCTTCGTGTTCCTCATCACCTTTCATCTTTCTGTTCTCAAATTTATTTCACCCTAATCTTTCCGATTACTGCTCATACTTCTACTACTTGTACTACTATGGAAATGTGAATTGACAATTGCATCTCCCTGTATGCTGCTAATGTGGTGAGTGGTATGACAACTTGAACTAATGTACGTTCGTACGTACGTACGAAGTTCTACGTTGTTATTGACTGACTGAGTAGTATTAGTAGTACTTGTAGCAGTAGTACTAGTAGTACTTAGTTCTTCTATGCATCTTAGCATGTAGAAATGCATCGTACAACATTGCATTGATTGCAATCCTACTTACCGATCATGTTTGTATTAATGTACCTAACCACCCACCCACCCAATCCTCCCCTCATCATCTTCCATGGATAGTTTCGGGATCGATGTGTTGTTTGTGCCTTAACTATTTTCTAATCAATGATCAATGGACAGTGGTTAGTAGTGGAAGTCAATGTGACGTGTATCTCGTCTATATATTTGAAACTTATCTTCAGTTGGAGTTGATATTTACTTCATAACTCTAATCCATGCACTTCTAAACGCTATTCAAGTACATTTAGCCCCTTATCATTTATCTCTGCTTATTTTTTATGATTAGGATCGCTAACTTTCCCACTATCCAATCTTCATCCTTTATCCGGGCTTGAGACCTACTTTTTAAGTTTATTTCACTGCTTTTATACTACTTCTTCAATAATTAATACACCTCCAAGCCTTAATATTCTCCCATTACCACTAATAACTCCTACTAGATCTATTACTGTGGAATTTCGGAATTGACAATTCGATCTGTCTGTGTGCGCAAATATGGTGGTGGTGGTGGTGGTTTGACAACTTGTACTGATGTACATACATGTACGAATAGTTCTACATTATTTCTGGCTGACGGACTACTGACCGGTAGGTGGTGGTAGCCCTAGAGGGTGGGGGCTCCAGATGGAGTGATCTCTACTTACAATGATTGACACTTATATTTTTATAAGAGTTTATTGACATTTTATATATTTTTTTCATTGGTAAATGATAAAGATTTTCTTGTTTTAATGTGATCAAGTCTATTTTTTTTTGATCTTTGAATGGATTTTGATTGATTGATTGTCTTGATAGAGTGTTATGAATTCAAATTTTTTTTCCAATAAAATTGATTTCATTTAGTTTTGGCCATCCAGTAGTAGTTGTATAGCAACAGCTACACACTTCAGCGTTGAAGTCATTCGTACTGGATTCGCAAATTACTTGTCATTTCTCATCAAATGTTCAAATGTCCACAATGATTAGAAACCGGGAAGCACTAAAAGATAGCCGTTTTGTCCTGGTATGTGAAACTCATCAATGGCAGTGCGCATCCACGACTCCCGCCATTCGCAAGATTCAAACGCGGTGACCTTCGGTCTTGCGCTTGTGAACGCTTAACTTCTGGACCACTAAGTCGGCTCGTATCCATCGGTGTTAATTTGTAACTCTGATCAATCTAAGAATTTTGTGCAACCTCACCCATTTGTGTTCGGTAGTTACTAAATACACACAACAGGGTCATGGCCTTTCACTAGAACTCTGAGAATTTCTTCATGAGGCTGCTGATGAATCAATCCCATACTATAGGACGAAACGGCCGTCTTTCAATGTTTCCATATTTTTAATAATCGTTTATAATTTCAAGGTGAAACTATCATCTCCACTGGTCCAGATGTTAGGCATTCGCACGCAAGACCGGATGTCCTGGGTTCGAATCCTATGATTTTCGAGAATCGTGGATGATGAGTCCTATACCAGGACGAAACGACCGTCTTACAGTGCTTCCCGGTTTCTAATGGTGTTATGGTCTAACAATGATTGATTGATTGATTGATGATTTCAAATGTATATGATTATTATTATTATTACAATCAACCGCGTAAATTTGCATAAATTTCTATTTACTTATGTGTTGTTATATTTCATATATATATATATTTATAATTTTGTATATATAATTCTCTATAGTTTACTAATCTACTTTTCTCCCAATGTTCTTCCTTCTCTCTCCCTCCCTCTCTACCTCTCTCCGCAACTTACACTACCTACCTACCTAACTAACTAACTAACTAACTGACTAACTAACTTACTAACTTACTCACTTTTGTGTACATCTCTTCATCTATCTATCTATCTATATATGTATATATATATATATATACACATATTTCTCTCTTCATTGACTCATTTTCTAGATGCAAGCTGTAAGTGTTCTTGCACGAAAGTAACTTAACTTAAAACAATAAAAAAACAACTACGTCTTCTCCTTCCTCTTCTTGTTGTTGTTGTGGGGAATTGTTGTTGTTTTATTCATTATAATTTCGGGCTGCTTCTTTTTCCCCATGTAATAAAACAAACAAACAGATTGTGTGTGTATGTTTTGTTGGTGTTGTTCCTTGTCTACGTTGTCTCTCCTCCGCCTCCTCTTCGTTGTATGGTGTCGGTCATTTTTTTTCTGCGAAATACCATATCGCCGCCTGTTTATTCTTGTTGTCGTCGTTTTTACCCCCCCTTTTTCTTTTATGGTTCTATAGTTTCACTCGTGCATATATCTATATATCCCTTATTCCCCTTACTCACCCACATACACATACACACACACTCACTATATACTTGTGCACATACTTGTTTCTCCCATAGTTTTCTTTTTTCCCGTTTCACCAGTCTGTTTTTTTTATGTTGTCGTCAGTGTTGTCGCCGTTGTCGCCGCCGTCGCTGTCGGTGTTGTCATTCTCATTGTCCACTCACTGTATTGTTGTTGCCTTCACCATGACCTCTTTTATTGACTCTATTTGTCATGATTACATAACACTACTACGACGACTACTGCGCTTACGACTACCACTCCGATTCCATATTTTTTTTCTACTGTATAACAAAGATCATGGTTACCTCGTCTGTTTATTTTATTGTTATTGTGATGAGGTTGTATCGCGTTCGTTGTTGCTTTTATCATCCATCATCTCAATCAAAATTAAAAACCATTTTTTTTTCCAATACATATATATATATATATTTTAAAAAATGAAATCAAAGAGAGTAGTTAGTAGTAGTATCATTTGTTTGTTATAATTTTAATGCTTTTACATAATAAGTAATGAAAAAAAAAGTAGTCATATCACATTGTATGTTTTTTTTCCGCTTAAAACAAAAAAAAACCTTGAATATTGAATGTTTTGAAGTTATTTGTTTGTTGATTGGTTGGTTGATTGGTTGATTGATTGATTGGTTGGCTTTGTCAACGGAATTTTGTATGTGCTTCATTTTGATTGGTCAATAATTGTTGTCGCAAGGTCATGTTAAAGAAAAAAACAAGATAGTGTTGATCAATTTTCAATATATGGTCGCCATTTTAATTTGAAAAGATTTTTAATTGAAGCCATTTTGTTTATATATACACACGCACACTCTTGTCCATATTAGGCATAAAGATTATGGTAGATTAGAAAGGAATGAAACTTGGAGGAAAAACACATTAACACCTTTGGATGCCGGTCCAGTGGTCCAATGGTTAGGCGTTCGCGCACAGTACCGAAGGTCCCAGGTTCGAATCCTGCGAGGAGCAGGAGTCGTGGATACGCACTACTGATGAGTCCCATACCAGGCAGAAACGTCCGTCTTTCATCGCTTCCAAGTTTCTAATGGTGGTCTAACAATGATTGATTGATGATTTCAAATGTGTAAAAACACAAAATCCTCCAAAACTCTACTCCAAAAAATAATTGAACCTTTAATGAAATACTTCAATAGTATGAAACACATGTCTAGGTCATGTACGATTTCCACCAATCATAAATCAATCATTGTTAGACAAGCATTAGAAAACTTGGAAACATTGAAGGACAGCTGTTTCGTCCTGGTATTTGGACTCCTCAGCAGTGCGCATCGAACCCCAGAGCCTTCGGTCCTGAGCGCAGGCGCTTAACTTTGTGGACCAGTGAACCGGCCGGCATCCAGCTGTGTTAACGTCTAGTTCTGATTATTCTAAGGATGTCACTTATCTCTTTTTTTAAAATGAAATATGACTAACTATTCATAGTCAGACAAAAATAATTTAAAGACATGTGATTCGTCCAGCATTAAACGGCTATTCAGTATTTCCAGGTTCGTTTCTAACGGTGGTCTTTCATCTAGATAAATTTATTGAATGTAAAATGAGTTTTCCTTTAAAGGTTTTACATTTAAAAATAGTGATTTATCAAATGAGTTTGAATGTCATTGAAGAGTATCAATCACCATTAGTATCAATCAGCATTAGAAAGGAGCCTGAAAACACTAGACAGCCGTTTTATTCTAGTATGGGACTGCTTACTCATCAGCAATGCTCATCTACGACCCCCGCTCGAATGAAATCAAACACTGGACCTTTGGTCTCGCGCGCGACTTCTTAACCTCTAGATCACCGGGCCGGCGTCAAACGGTACTCATCAGTAACCATCTTCATGAGGAGAAACCGTGACCAGTCGAGTTCAGCCCTGTTGGGTGTGTAGGCAGAAGACATTGGGTGGAGTAGCGCACAACCTGCGATTGATCAAAGTTCCACAATAACACCATTAAATGTCAGCTCAGTGGTCTAGAGGTTCAACGTTTGTGCGCCAGTTCGAAGACCCTGCGTTCGATTCCCGCGAATGGCGAGAGTCGTGGATGTACACTGTCACTGATGAACAGTCCCATACTCTCTGTAGGACGAAATGGGCTTCCAGTTAATTCAGGTTTCTAACGATGGTCTGACAATGATTGATTCGTGATTTCATTCTTAGATTTCATACCGTTTTTTTTTCGTTTAATTTCAATTTTCAATAATTGCAGCGGAATAGCACACTTCATAACACTTATATGATTGTAAGCAGCTGATGAGCAACTTACTTACTTAGTCTTGTTACCCCCCCCCTACTCCACGGTGGAGCACAGACTTCTGATCAGCATTCTCCAACTAATTCTGTCTCCGGCCTTCTTTGTCAGTTCTATCCAATTGGTGTTTTATTCTTCGCATGTCTGTCTCCGATTCTCAGCGTAGTGTCATCGTTTGGCCTTCCTCGTTTTCTTTGAACTTGAGGATTTCAAGTGAGGGCTTGTCTTGTGACGCGGTTGGATGCTTTCCTCAATGTATGTCCTGATTTGTCCCACAGATGGAATTTTGTTTGTTCTATCCCATAGTAGATTGTTGCTGATGGTGTCAAGTCAACGGATGTGTACGTTGTGTTGTATCGGGAAGGATCTCACTTTTTCCGTTGTGTATGTTCAAACCGACTGCTGCTACACTGATCACCTTCTCCTACATTTGTTATTGAGTGTCCAATAGAAGAGCCAGATCATCTGTCAAGTCTAGATTGCCCAGCTGCATCCTAGTTGTCTACTATATTCCATGCTTCCCCCCCAGATCTTGACGTATTCATTATCCAGTCTATCACCAGAAGAAAGAGAAAGGGTGATAGTATGCAACCATGCCTGACACCAATCTTGATGAGCAATTAAGAAATACACAAAAGTCAATTGACAGGATTATTTTGGCCTCTTAACTATTGTTATTCTTTCCCAAGTATTCTACTTTGAAATATCACTTAGGTATATTGGAATCTTTGTGTCTCTACGTGGTTGCACTATGTTATTCTACTAAGCTATACTATGTAGGTAGCATCAACGGCTAAACAGCCAAAACTACATGTAAGATTACTCCCTCTCTCTCTTACAGAATATACGATTTTCACAATTTTCGATTCTATTTAACTGTGTATTTATCTATATGTGCAACGCAGTCCGGAACCACACAGTCTGCTTAATGCTTCATTGTTAGTGACATTAGATCCCTAGAGCGCACTTGATAAAAGTCCTAAATTTTTGATTTTTTGTGTTTTCGCGCCTGGACTCCCCGGCTGACCTTGAGATTACATTCCCCACCCGGGACATCATTGACTGTTATTGGTTGATGTATTATTTTAGTACGTTATCATGTATAAATAAACTCAATTTACGTGCTTGTGAGCCTCATATTTCCTAAGTTGTTAGGATATATTCATCCAATATCCTAAGAGAATTATTGATCAATTCCTATTGGTTCATTCCTACTGGTCAATTTTATGGTCGTCCCAAATATCAATGTCACGTGCTCCAATGTTGTTTCTTATTGGTTGTCCTGACTATCAATGACACTTCAAATGTTACTTCCTGTTAGTCGTCTTAACTGTCAATGTCACAGACTTCGATGCTGTTTCTCATTCGACCAAAACGTATAAATACGCACGATCTGTAAAGTTTTATAACCAGGACCAGGACCCGGTCGCGGATTCCTAGTCCGGGATCCTGATTCTCTTGTGGACTCGAACTTCGCACCTTCTGGATGCTTGTAGATTACACGTTCTACTTCACATTCAAGTCTTCTTATTCTTTACTCAATATGGGCGTTGGAATAATCGGATTTGAGTAGCATGTTGTGTCACCTGATCCTCGATCCTCGCTCTCGTTCTCCGACTAGGGTAAACTCGTAATAGTTCAAGCATATCAAAATGACGTGTTTACGTGCAGGTGTAACATGAGTGCTTGTAGAATAAATACACTTTACACGTCTTAGTAGGCCCTTGGGACGCTCGAATAAGAGTAACCTATCATGTCACTGGATCATTTTATCTTCGCTCTGATTTACCGGACTAAATAAAGTGAACTCAAGCCTATCAACTACTGTTGACGAACGAGCATAACATTCCTATTGATATTTAAATTGAATTCATTGTGAAATCACGTATGATTCAAGGCAAAAATCAACTAAGTCTACTGAATTTCCTCCTCTGTTCAATCAATTCAATCAATTTTGTGACATTTAACAACGATATTAATTGAAAAAAAATAAACAATGAAGAGAAGAGATTGTCAACTAAGGCAACATGTGATACTACTAACTACTACTACTATGATCTTACTTACTTGTGTCTATTTTCATGATTTATCCCCCAAAAATCAAAAAAAAAAGTTTCCGTGCCTTTATCATTTTCTGTCATCTTTTCATTTTGTCCTTAATAAGATGTTGATTTTTTCTGTCTACTTTTAAATATTGTAACTAGTGGTACTGTTGTCGTCAACTTGCCTATATTCTATTCAACTAACAACTACCTATATATATATATATGTAGTACATTTGCACACAGACACCCACACACACATGTGTCTGTACATATATACATATATGTATGTGTATTGGTTACAAAGTGTGTGTGTGTGTGTGTGTAGGTAACCA